GGGACGTTGTTCCTTGAGGATCTGGCCACGTAGTGGGAAGGCAAGGATGGCTTTGGTAAGAGGACTGAGTTTGACCCCTTGACACTTACCCCAGCACCTTAATTGGGAACGGTTCTCTTTTCAAAAAATATCTAACATATGATCAAGCAATGATAGCGGTAAGGTAATTGTTAAATACTTATTGTAGAATTATTTAGTTTCATTTAGAATTTTAAGTGAAATTGTATAAGTACGGGTTATGGGTGATTAAATGTAAAATAACCATGGTTATTCGTTATGCGTAATGTTGCGAATTGTGTGATATTACATTGTAATAGCGAAGGTAGCGCTAAGTTTATTTGTATCGAAGAGCGAAGTAAGAGCGAGCGAGATAGCATTTGTAGATTTCTTTGTAGATTTCTTAGAAACGATGCCTAGAAACGATGCCTAGCTGGCGATCTTGCGTGCACAGGGGTGCTTCAGCTAACCTGGGGCCGTTCAGGCCACGGCTAGGGGAGGTACTGTATGTACCGCCCTGAGGCCGGTATGACCCACAGTAGGAGATGTCGAACATCTCCGGTAATAAGGGGCAATGGACGGAGAACCGCTTGGCTCTTCCGGGACCTTTAGGCTGGTCTAGGAGTAAAGCCGCTATGATAGATAAGGGTAGAATTCTGGGAAAGTCGGAAAGGCCCGAGCGTGTCCACCTCCGTGTTTCATTATTTGATGTAAATGTCGAATTTCCAGTTCTGTATTTGGTTTTCTGACTCGTCCGAAAAGATGACTTTATCCCCAAAAAAATGATCTTTATTAATGTAGGTTTTCGCAAAAGTCAATCTTTCTTTACGATTTACCGCATTAATATATGGCTTCTTTCGTGGTACTCTGCCATGAAAATTATTGTTTCGTAAGATTCGTCGACATAATTCCGGGTGAACTTCTTTATGAAACATATCAGCTACCATAGTTGCGAGTTGAGGAGCGGATATAGTAGGATTCTTTTTTAATTCGCGAATGATAACTTTCTCCTCTCTTCCAGTCAATTTCTTTGGTCGACCTGATCGAGCTTTTTTGCAAATGTTCCCTTATTCTTTGACTTTTTTATGATATAATGTACTGTAGACTTATTTCTGTTCACAATCCCGGCAATCTCGTTATACGATTTGCCGTCCTCATGCAATCGTAATATTATTTCTCTTTCACACTTTTTGGTTTCAGACTTTTTCGTGTTCATTTTAAATACTATTGTGCACACTTTTACGTTACTATTACTGAAACGATTTCCTAACATCAAGTGAACGTACCAATATTTTCATTTGGCAATGATGTTTACATTTGGTGCAAAGGAAGATGAAAAACTATCAACAGTGTTACAGCGTTCGAATACTTTTGTGGCTCACTTATCATGCATGTTTCTAATAAATGTATCATAACTCCTTTTTACGTTATTGAATCTTTTTCAAATTTTACTGGCATAATCTTAAGACTTCTATCTTCCTATTGACATCTACTTGTTTTAGTAAATTGCTAGAATGTACATTATTTTGGTCATTCAAGTTTGCATATGTAAGCGTTCGAATACTTTCGTGAGCCACATGGGCCACTATATATACACAATACACGTCGAACGCAGGGCAAGTGGTACTATTATACATTTTACGAAAAACTAGGAAGGATTACATTTTTATGCGTCAAAAAAACTAACAATTCGTTTCTGAATACGCTATTCTTATTAAAAGTTTGAAAATTGTCAAGAAATAATACTATATATAAACAAGTCTTGTGTAAAAATGTATAAGACTTTACCTCACAGAGCAACGTGCCATTATTGGCTCTGGTAACTGCTGACGCAGTTTCTCCGCAAATCAACACTGGCCGTCCAAGTCGCGAGTTAGGTATGTAATTAGTTTTGATACACGAGCCCCAATTCATATGAAATATTAGGTCCACCGGAAAGTTTTGTCTGTTTTCAGAATTAACCTAACCATTCTAAAACGGACAGAACTTTCCGGTAGACCTAATACGTAGCGGTCGTATTGATAATGTAAAGGGAACATACCACCAAATAATATTCTTATTACATTTTATTGAGACTTCGAGTTTTTATAGTGAATGGTAATTTTTTATTTTACACGACGAGTATACACGTCAAACGCACCGCAGTAGAGATTTGGTCAGACGTGTATACACGTCGAACGCACTCAAATGGTTAACACGTAATTCCTTATTGTGGGATATTTTTGTTTAAAATATCTGTTATAGAAATTCAGATAAACACTAATGAAATTTAAAAATTAAATATCTTTTATCTTATTAAGCATCTATATCTATATCACATAAATATGTACAAATTTGTGTCAATATGATTTAGTAATACACGAATTTGCGAACTTACGAAATATATTTTCGGATAATCAACGTATAGAAAAGTCTCGATACGTAATAATTAAATGGATTTGTTGAAATGAAACATATTGCATATGGTTTTCATTAATTGTTTACTAGGAGATTTATATATCAATAATAATAATAACATGAAGCTACATATATTTTATAAAAGATGCGTAAGGCCGATGAATGATGTTTTTATAATGGCGAAACTGCAGGAGTTAAAATAATGAAAAAAGAAACTATAAATTTTCTTTCATTTAATAAAAAATTTAAGTAAATATCAAAACAATTTTTTCATTTAATTTCTGTTATTAGAGGTTAGAAATGTCTGTACTTTAGTTAATTTTTAGAAACGAAATTAAAGGGGATGAAAAAGTGAAAAAAAAATTGTACAAATTCTTTAAGCCTTGAATTCGCAAAAAATAATAAATACAAAAGTAATGTGCTTCAAAGAAAAGCAGTTAGTATTCTTCTACAAATTGAAAGAAAATTGCTATATACGATTAATGAAATTACAGCATTAATAAATTAATAAAATAAAAGATTAATTTAAAAAGTGAAGTAAAAAATAGTAACAAAAAGATCGGATCTCTGTGGAGCGTGAGCGTGTAGACAAAAGAACTCATTGTACAAAGGAAGTGTACAGATTATGCTATGCTGTAATTATTATATAAGTGTATTGATCCATGCAATGAGTATTTGGAGCGCTTAAATTCTGAGCGACATGACCTGTTATGGAGTCCTAAAAGTCTATAAATTAAACAATAAAATACATTAGATAATAGAACTGACCTGCGATATTGCCAGTAATCTGTAATGCCAGCAACTGACGACGCTGTAACGTGAAGTTTTCTCTTAAGAGAAATTTTCAAGTTTAATTACATGACAAAAACAGATTATGATTTTTCAAAGATATCTATATAAAAATAAGAAGTGAAAAGTTTACTTTTTGTCATTTGAATAGGGGTGGTAGCATAACAATGAAGCTTTGGGAATAAATTATTATGCAGTACAAACATTTACAAAGCATGTGGTGCACCTTCTGTTTCAATGTTTCTCCATCAGCTATAATAATATGAATTTTATTCCCGCTCAAAGAAAAGGAATTGAAGGAACACCGTTGGAAGGAAGAATGCGTTGCATGCTTTGGGATTGCATGTTTTTCTACCTATTTACTCGTATGTAAAAAAAATATAGTATACTATAGTATTTTGTCTACGTTACATGCGATTCTATGCTTTAGACATTAACTGCGCCAATACTTTACAAGATAATACACTTTTTAATATTTCTCATACATGTAACGAAGCTATAACTTTCTTCATTTAAAAGGGGACTTCGTAACCTTTAATGCACTAATTTCATTTAAATTTTGCATAATTATAGAGAATACTAAAAATAATAATTTTAAACAATTATGAAGTGCAACTTCTTAAAATAAAAAAGACTTTATGTCTGATATCCCTGTAATTTGTACTTAATTGTTATGAGAATTGTATGATACTATGAATGTATTACAGCTGAATGGAAAACTGCTTGGTTTACTAATCCCTGATTATTTATTGAAACGATTAAAAATAACTGATTTATATAGGAATGAGTTCCAAAGGAACGAGTCACTAAAATATTATGGATAAAATACGATATTTTAGAGAAAGTTCTTCTACTTAAAAGTTGACAGGATTTTAAAAATCCACTGATGTCATTATGGCTCTAAATAAGATCTAATTTTTGACTCTATAAGACTCATGATCCACTTATAAATAAGATTTTATTTTTATTCCATATTTTAATTCAATACTTTAAAATAAACAGGTGTTCTATCAAGCCAGATCTTTCTGCTAGCTACTTCCACGAGACCAAAAATAGCTCTAACTTTAGATAACCTTAACTTTAATCCTTTCGCTTTGACTGTCCAGTCCGCCGAAGTACTGCAACTGAACGGAAGCGCGCGCCGTGAATACGTGCAGTTCGCGTTGGTGCTGTATATACGTTTTTCTTAAGTCTTAAATGACTAATTTGCTGAATAAAACAATCTTTGCTACAATATAATGAGTATAATTTAGATCTTTGATATGAAAACATTTATAACGTACAATTATAACTTTTGTAACTTATAAACATTTATAACTTACATTTATAACTTACAAAGCTACAGTATTTTACAATATTCACAATATTTACAATATTTTAATTATGAATTAATTATGATGCGCAAACAAGTTAATATATTAATGTGAAATGATTAATAGTATAAGCACATATGCTAAATTTTGTTAAGCGACGCTCGTACCCACAAGTCATATTTTGTGCGCCGTTTATAAGCGGCGCTCGAAGCGAAAGGGTTGAGGACCGCTCACGAGTTTTCTCGTGTTTCACGTCCCATCTGTTACGGATGGACTTACTTTCATATATTGTATTCTACTACCTCCAAGGCTGGTGACCAGACGATCCCCTTGGTGGAATCCGAACAGATCAAGCTACGAAAAACTGTATAAATGCACGAACGCAAAATAAAAACAGCTTAATCTCAAAGAGAATTCGACACGTTGCATTGCATTTTGGTGATTCGAATAGCCTTCGTCTTCAAGTTCCTCGCCCTTTTAGAAATGGCCTCCTTTCGAAAAAAGATGGAAACGAACGAAGCTGAAATACTTTCGGAAGTTTTTGACGATAATTTGTCAGACGTTCCTAGTGGGAACGAAGATGCGGATGACTCTTTTGAAGATTGCGAGGACGATTCCAGTGACAGTGAAATTATTAGACCTGTAAAGAAGAGTAAGGTGGCAGTGTTTTCAAGTGATTTCGACACTGACGAAGAAATGATAATTGTTGGTCTGAAAATGACACACCACCACGCTTACAAATGTTTGAGGGTCATCCTGGGGTCACTACATTTCCATCTCAGTGTGACTCTGTAGCCTCTGTGACTAATCTCTTTTTTGGTGAAGAATTATTTGAAATTTTTTGCAAACAGCTGTGCAGCTATCACGATCAAACCGCAATGAAACGCAAAACATCATCCAGAACACTCAAGTGGTCTTCGGTTACACCGAAAGACATGAAGAAATTCCTTGGTCTAATTATTCTGATGGGTCAAACAAGAAAAGATAGCTGGAAAGATTATTGGTCCACAGCTCCTTTGGTATTTACCCCTATATTTGCACAAACAATGAGCCGCCATAGATTTGAACAAATATGGACATTTTGGCATTTCAATGATAATACGAAAATGGACAGTCGCTCGGGGAGACTTTTCAAAATTCAACCCGTGCTGGATTATTTCCTGCATAAATTCAGAACAATATACAAACCAAAGCAACAGTTGTCCTTGGACGAGGGAATGATCCCATGGAGAGGACGGCTAAGGTTTCGTACGTACAACCCAGTAAAACTGACAAAACATGGTTTACTTGTTCGGATGGTGTGCGAGAGTGACACCGGCTACATATGCAATATGGATATATACACTGCTGAAGGAAGAAAATTGGAACAAACTATATTAAAAGTAGAATGAAAATTTGCATAAGAAAGAAAGGTGTTATTTAAAAATGTTATTTGGGATTTGACAGGAACAGGAATGAAACTCCATATTTTTTCGTTTCTGATTTTGTCTTTATGTTTCGAAATATAAGATGTTGTATATACTAATTTTTCGTTTGATACATACAGTAGTTCCGTAAATAACTATTTCCATTTTAGATCCCATCAAAACACACAAATGATATTTTTAAATAGCAGTTTTTCCTTTACAGATTTTTATTTCATGTTTAAAAACGAAAAACGTTTGTACTAACTAGTTTTTCTCTTGAAGTTTTAATAGATTTTACTTCGTTCAGATCAAAACTGACTTTTTGCAGCAAGAATTTGGTCACCTTAGGGGTATTCCCCCCACCTCCCTAATTTTCACTCCCATTCCAACGTAGGCCAATTTTTGTCTTTTATCGAAAAATACTTTCATACCAAAAATCATCAAAATTGCTTCATTGGTCTTAAAGATATCGCAATTTTTCCATTTTACCCTCACATTTTGGGGGTTGTTTCATACCCTAAATATGTTTTTCCGCAGATACGAAAAAATACGTGTTTCTTAATTTTCTATGTACTATAACATATCCAAATTTTAGAAAAATCAGAGTGACACTTCGGTAGGTCTACTTGTAAGTTATAATTACATTACATACATAAACACTAATAAACATATGGATAAGCATATGCTATCTTTTTTCCTTGGGCTGTACTTGATCGTCCTGGTTGGTTTCTAACGTCACAACTGACGTCATCGCCGCGACTGCGACGCGTTCATGGCGCGTCGCCCACATTTCAGAGATGGGTCAACGCGGTCGTCTGGTCTTTTTTCGCGCGAAATTCAACTATGACTAATGGAAACCTTACGTGATCAATATAAAGGGTGGGTCTCGTAAGGTGACGACGTTAAATAACTCCAAAATTATTCACTGCTGGCAAAAATTCTTTAAACGAAAGTTACGTGGTTTTCAGAGGCGTGAAGACTACGCCATGAAAATCTAATTTCCACCAATTTTCACTATACAGGTACGTCCTATACAGAAGTTTAACCATTTATTTAATACACTTGTTTAATTTGATTATGAACGATTGATAGACATTTTTAAGTAGAATAATAATATGCGAGAATAATTTATTCTTGTATACATATATATATTCGATTGTCGTCGGTAGTTCTCAATAAAATTCATTGTTAGTACCATTCAGAGGAAATAATTAAGTGCATTCGATCTAGTGAGTGCGAAGTATTCTGTTTAATATTCGCTGTGTTTGTTAAGTTTTATGTGAATATTTAATTTAGAAACGTATTAAAAACGGTACATCTGCTAGCAAATCTGGTAATATCTTGGACAAAAAAGTGGAATACGTTTGACCCGGTAAGGATCTATTAATGAAATACGGTCCAATGATGCTGATTAATTGGACATATCTGCTTAATTTAGCTCTCCGTGGTTTGTATGTCACTTCTTCAGTTAATAGAATAATACAATGAATAATACAATTTTTTAAAAATTGGATTAATAGCTTCAGTCGATGCAGCAAACAAAAGAATAAATATCACTTTTTACAATTTTTTTATTGAAGCCTATAATGAAAATTCAAAATGTACTTTTTGCAAATGTGAATAAGATATGTGCATGCAGAAAATTTCATCGAAAGCAGATAGTGCAAATGAAAATTATTAGGTTTACTACAGTTGTTAAAGCCTGCCATAGATTTAACTATATAATTTAGCTTAGTCTTAGGTTTGTAAATTCATAGTATTTAACTTTCCATATATGTAATTTATAATCGGTCCCTTCGGGAATTTTGTAAACCGTTCCGTGGTAGCAGTAAACTCACGAAGCCATAAAGACCCGCGATTCTTACCGTAGTTTTTTTCGTTTATTGATTACATTTGGACGCCAGGTACCAACATTTCAACTTCCTAATCCGTTATTTCTAGCATGTTTTACCGCGGTCAGCACGCTGCTTGTTCCGAACGTGCTACGGAACACAATACGCGAGGATTTCGTAGGTAGTTTATGATGGGTCCGGGTAACAGTTATTTTTGAAAGACAGATTTTTAGCCATCGACGGCAATTTAGTTTTACATTTTTTCGAACAATGCCTTTAGAATTTCTAAGTTTCATTTAGTCTTCAATAACTACTCCGTCATAAACAGGGTTTTTCCCGAAGGGTCACCGAGGATGGGCCTCGGTTCCGTCCTAGCGGTACTTTTTAGGACAACGTGCGTGTCACCTGGAGGGAAAAACCCCGGCGTTGCCGGCCTTCGAGATCCTCCCGTACTCATCGGTATTTTTTCCCACCCTCTTCCAAAAAAGGCGCGCTCAGGGCGCAAGAGAGGGTGGGCCCAAGTCAAGGGGCATGTTGATTGGAAAATCAACGTTTCTAATGAGAACCAATCAGCATGCCTCCTTGCACTTCCGACGTTTCGAGGAAGTAACGACGGAACGTCTCGTCAGAATTCCAACATTAGTCATCCGAGTCGGACTAAAAAGAATCTCAAGTAAAGTCACCTAAGTCGGACTTAGAAATTTTACGAGTCATTCGATTACGGACTTAGAAATTTCACGAGTCATTCGCGACGGACTTA